GGCTGTGTTCCTCTTTCTCAGGATGGCTGTTGCTATATGAGGTCTTTTGTGATTCCACATACACTTTTGAAATATTTGTTAGAGCTCTGTGAAATACATTATTGGAATCTTGATAGAAATTGCATTGAATCTATAGATTGCTTTGGGTAGAGGGAAGGCTCCTAAACTCATTTTACGAGGCCAGCATTATCCTAATTCCAAAAACAAATAAAGACACTACAAAGAAAAAAATTATAGACCAAAATCCTTGATGAACATAGATGCTAAAATCCTCAATAAAATATTAGCACACCAAATACAGCAACGCATCAAAAAGATAATAAAACATGATCAAGAAGGATTTATTTGGGGAATTCAAGGTTGGTACAACATTTGCAAATCAATAACTGTGAATTACCATGTAAACAAATTAAAAAATAAAAAACACATAGTCATATCAATAGATGAAGAGAATGTGTTTAATAAAATCCAACACCTATTTGTAATTTAAAAAACCTCTCAGCAAAATGGAACTACAGGGAACATACGTGATCACAATAAAGGCTATATATGACAAACCCATTGCCAGCATCATACTCAATGGGCAAAAACTACAGACATTTCCCTTATGATCAGGAACAATGATGTCCACTTTCACCTCTCTTATTCAACATAGTAATGGAAATCCTAGCCATTGCAATCAGACAAGAAGAAGAAATAAAAAGATTCCAAAATGGGAAAGAGGAATAAAACCATTGCTATTTGCAGATAGAATCTCAAAGTTTCCACCAAAAAAACTACTAGACCTGATAAATGAATTCGGCAAAGTAGCAGGATACAATATTAATATCCTATAATCAGTGGCATTTTTGTATGCCAATAATGAACTAACCAAAGGGAAATTCAGAAAACAATCCCATCCACAATTGCTACAAAAAGAATAAAATACTTAGGAATAAGCCTAATCAGGGATGTAAAAGACCTGTACTTGAAAAATTATAGGACATTAGAGAAATAAATTGAAAAAGATACAAATAAGTGGAAGCTCATGAATAATTTTAAGACCCTGAAGAAAGAAATTGAAAAAGATGCAATTTTTAAATAGGAGACATAGGACTATCCATTGGACCATACAAGGATAATCAGTCATTGAATGCCTTTTTTCCAGAGATTGGGTTTAGTATTTCCACTTATTCTTTTGGCTAGTAGTTACAATCAATCAGCAAATTACATATTGGTGAAAAATACTGGTGTTCATGTCAAACACTTAAGTGAGGGGTGATGAGTTCTCAAGCACTTAAGTTCTATGCTTTTTCTACTATGTTACTTACATATTGGGAGTGCGTTGGTGTGTAGGGGGCTGGACTGTGACTCATCCAACCCCAGTAAGCATGAGACTTTGGGTCTTAGCACATACAACCATAGGAGAAGGTACCCTCTCAGTAGGGATGCACACATTTTGAGAAAATATTCCAGGGGAAGGCTGAACAAGTTATACCAATAGCATAGGAAGTTGGTAGAGTAGGTGCAATAGTCAGCTTTTTAAGACAACTAGGAATATATTTACACTTTTTATTATACATCATTATCTGATAGTTTTCTCAGATTTATCTCTAGATATGGAAATCAACACTTGTGAGGACTGTCCACATATTTTAAAATTATGAATAGGAAGTTGTATACAGCTTTTTCCTCAATTTATTTAATGTTTGTTGTTGAAGCAAGTGAGAAATGCCTAGGGTCAATAAAAAGATATATGCATATACTTCTCATCTAAGAAACTGTCAGTGAGCATTTTCACTGAACAGAACACTATTATAAATGTGTGCTATCAGTTAAATTTCATTATTTTTATTTGGCAAATCTTAAAATCAAGGGATTTTTCAGCTGATTTGAACCTGAAAAGTATTGTGTTAGAATTTATTTTTTAGAGATCAAATTTCACTTTAAATTCTCATATGGGGCATCTGAAGAATTAAGAAGATCTTCTAAAAGGAAATAATCATATGTAGTTTAGCTGTTTGATAAATGTATATTTTTTACACTTGTATTTCTTTGGATGAGTAACATATGTTTTGGTCAAGTCATTACAACACAAATTAGTACAAAAAATCATCAAAAATTTTTTAAAGTTTCAGCAAGTGGCTGTTTTTTGTTATTACCATCAAATAATCTCAGAACCACCACAGAAGTCCTAGAGATATGAGTAGAATCTCATAATGCCTGCCTCTTAATGGGATCTGTCATGTATTCCAAAATGCACCAATACCAGTTAACTTCATAATTGGAAATTGACTTGTTTTTCAATGATGGGTTCAGTGTTCATAGATTTTTTCAATAACAGAAAAGGAAGGAGAAAATCAGGCAATGTGCTAAATAAATAAAAATTTTATTCTTAAAAACAATAATGATCCAGGCAGAAAAAATGCAGGAAAATGTGTAATGTAAAACAAACATTTTTAAGAAGAAAAAAACAAAAAGCATGTTGCTGCTTGTAGCAAAGATTGTTGTTATACTTGTGAGTGAAAAAATATTTAATTAGCAGAATATGTGTAAGGGTAAAACATCAGTGTTTTGTTGTTGTTGCTGTTATGTTTTTTTTAAAACAAGCTAAAAGGAGAAAATGGCAAAAAGCTCCCTGGCCAGTGTGGCTGAATTAGTTGGAGTGCCATCCCATGCGCCTACAGGTCACAGGTTTGATTCCTAGTCAGGTCACATATGGGAGGCAACTGATTGATGTTTCTCTCTCACATTGATATTTTTCTCTCTCCCCATCTCTTTTTCTCTTTTTTTCTCTTTCTCCCTGCCATTTCTTCTCTCTCTAAAAGCAATAAAACTATCTGTGAGTGAGGATTATTTTCTAATGTCAGAAAGGATTTAAGCTATGAAAGAGAAATTAAGGCAGGAGTGAGGGAAGAGGTTAGGAAGTTGTCCCAAATAGGGTCATACATACCAGGAGGTCAAGGAAAAGTTCTTGTATACAAATAATTCTCAGTAAGTAGGAGGTAGGTCTGTCACCATTGAGCAAGCAAGGCAGAGCTCATGGAATACTGGAAACAGGTGAAAATAGATAATAGACTGTGTAACAAGAATCATAATCACAGAGAAGAGAAAGTGGACCTTGATCATCAAGGGGTTTCTTATCTGTCTGTGTTTCCTTGGATCTCTCACTGGAGAGAGGCCAGAACACATCATTTTGGACCAGGCTGCATCAGTTCTCAGGAGACACAAGTCATAACTGTAGCCAGCACTACCTGCACAGGCTGTTACCAATTGATTTGAATGAGGTTTGTGCATGTCATAACAAACACCATTCAAAATCAGAAAGCTGGTTACAGTTATCAAAAATACCCAAATGTTTTGAAACAGATCCCCCATCTCCTAATGAATATGCTAGCTTTTCCACACCTGCACAGAGAAAAAAGTATCAACTCAGGATGTGTAAGTGCCTAAGAAGAGGTAGTGTGAATTTAAGTTCTCAAAATAGTAAGAATGTACATCATATCAATTTTCCCTTCTGCCTAACCTCAGTAATTTAAGTAAAAAGAACAGAATCACAAAAAAATACTATACATAAGGAAGAAAAGTCTTCAGGAAATTAAGCAAAAGGGCCAAACTCCTCCTCCCAAAGCAAATTACAACAAAACTTACACGTACATTTAAGTCCTCGGATTCCTACTCTTAAGGATCTTGAGGACAAGGTATAAGTGAACACACTTCTTTTTTCAAAGCTCTATTAGAATTTGAACTACTAAGCTTTTATGAACATAAAAAATATAGCCTTGTGTTTTTAAACTCTACCATGTCAGTGAGTACAATATACATAATTCAGGCTATGTCTTATTTTTTTCAAAATTGGTTTGAAAGCCATAATTTTCATAATAATCTGACACTAGTTTCACCAGGTGCTTTGCCAAGTTTGAAGGACCTGCAGAAACAGTACATAAACACAGCTTCACTTCTTCCCCATCCTTTCCATCATGCTGACAGTTTTCCCAAGAATCATTACCGGCGTGGTTTGTTCCATTAAAGATAAGAGGCTATCTGTGTTTCCACTAGGAACTTCTATTTTCCAGACTTTATAACTCATTTATAAATATTCACTCCAGGCAACAGTTTCATATAGTACAATTCTGTGTCTCAGAATCCACATTGACTTAACTAAATGATTTTTAGAACTCATGAGGACTTTTACACTGCTACAAAAAATAAAAAGAAAAATCAAATGCACATACAGTGCTATGTGTTAGTGGGTATGATTTAAACCAAAATACTGTGGAATCTATAAACCACATGCACATAACTCTTTCTTAGTAATTCTATCTTTCAAAATAGAACTTATTTCTAATAAAATTCATTGCATCATATATAGGCTATTAATTCAAATTATGCATTTCTAATCTATTTGTTTCTATAAGGTAACTAAATTTGAAATTATATTATTTCAACTAAAACTTCTGTAGGACTTTCTATTATTAGTCATGCTCTTTTTTGTTACAGAGTTTGAAATGGAATTATATCAAAAGCTAGAAATTATATAACATAAGCACTTGCATATAATAATATCCTTAATATTTCAAAATATATTTAAGACATTAATATTTTATATTCAAATGGTTTGTATATCCTTGAAACACACTTTCAGCATTTGGGATCTGTCTTCTACCTAAAAGAGAGAATATCACAAATGTAATGATTTTATTAAATAAGAGACCAAAATATACTTCTTATCCCATCTGGAAAGATAGAATTATAAAGATTAAGAAACAAAGACTAAAATGACATCAACCCACTAAAATGAAACACTTTCTTCTTAATCTCATCATTTTAAATTTTGTACCCACAGATTCACATTGCTTGAATTAAACGTTCTTCTCATTATATTGCTGAGCCAGCTGTGTAAAATGCTATTTAGCAAGAATCAAAATTTTATTGCAAGAATTTCCTTTGTGTTTTGGCTTTACAGTACGTGTATGCTCAAAGCCTAACCTAAAATTTATTTCTTTTTTCTTTTCACACAGTTATTTTGTGACAGTAAAAAGGTGGTGCATGCCACAGAGGGGCTGGACTGGGAAGACAAAGATGCTCCAGGGACATTGGTAGGGAATGTGGTTCACTCAAGAATCATCAATCCTCTGCGCCTGTTTGTTAAACAGTCTCCAGTCCCAAAGCCTGGACACGTGGCCTATGCGGAGAGCATGGAAGACTTCTGGGACTGGCTGGCCAACATCACGGAAGTTCAGGAGCCATTGGCAAGAACTAAGCGGAGGCCCATAGTAAAAACGGGAAAATTTAAGAAAATGTTTGGATGGGGCGACTTTCATTCCAACATTAAAACTGTTAAACTCAACCTCTTGATCACAGGGAAAATTGTTGACCATGGAAATGGAACCTTTAGTGTTTATTTCCGACATAATTCCACAGGCCTGGGCAATGTTTCAGTAAGTCTGGTGCCCCCCTCCAAAGTGGTGGAATTTGAAGTTTCCCCACAGTCTTCCTTGGAGACCAAGGAATCCAAATCTTTCAATTGTCGCATTGAGTATGAAAAAACGGATCGGGCGAAGAAGACTGCCTTGTGCAACTTTGACCCATCAAAGATCTGCTACCAGGAGCAGACTCAAAGCCATGTGTCTTGGTTGTGCTCCAAGCCCTTCAAAGTCATTTGCATATACATTGCCTTTTACAGTGTCGATTATAAACTTGTGCAAAAGGTCTGTCCTGACTATAACTACCATAGTGAGACTCCTTACTTATCTTCTGGCTGAATCCTTCCACAGTGATAGAAATGAGGGACCGATGTATATTTAAATAGAATGACCAAGAATGAAGCCCAGCTGTTCATGGGAAAGGATCCTTTTTGTTTCTGGTGGTGAACCCTAGTTCCCTAATAGGTTTATGAATTAAAAAAAAAGAAAAGTAAAAGAAATGTCTTTAAATGTGAAGTGTGTTTGTTTTGATCATGAGTACCTTAATGTAAAGAGTCAAACTGTTGATGAAGCCACCACTTTCATGTAGGATGGCTAAGTTCTCAGAATGTTGTTTCTCTAAAAGAAGCATCAGTGGAAGCAACATCTAACAAGGAAGAATTGAATTATGCATGTGATAAACATTGCTCTTGAAATGAGCCTGCCTTGAAATATGTTTTGGAAGGTTACCTTAAAAATAGCAGATTCAGTAAAGTAACTGAAAAAAATATCTTTGATAGATGAATTGTATTTCTGACATCGTCTCTTTTTTACTGTTGTCATTCTCCCCACATTTGTGCTGTTACTGATATGAGAGATGAAGGGGTAAAATTTGTTTCAAAACTCATGTGTGAAGTTTCAGTGCCACAGTAGAACTAAAATGCATCATTATCTGAGCTAGAGTTGAGTGAATGTGATTTAAACACCAAGCCCTATGTTGGTCACTGCCCTTATAAGTCTTATCTGAGGAGTAATATTGGTGTATTGGGAAAGCAAATCTGGATATAAGTAAATTCAACAATAATGAAGAGCACAATGTTTTTAGATTCTTTTGCCAAATTCAGTGCTGTGAGGGATTGTCAAAATGTCATAAATCTGCATTCTTCCTATAACCTATACCCTCATTCTATTCATTTGGGAGTATGATTTTTATATACATGTGTGGAACAACTCTGAAATGGAGAGAAATGATTGTTTCCTAGGCTAGAATGGGAGAAAAATTTGAAGTGGTGGGAAGAAATTCCAGAATTATGGATTCATTATTTCTAGCCTTCCAAGTTAAGTTCTCCTTGCATTGTTAATTATTTGAGTGAAGAGTCAAATTCTATGTGGAAATAAAGAATATATTTAAACATAAGCAATTGTCATTAAGTCCTAATAACCAAGATGCCTGACTCGCCAGGCTTTTGAAATTATTTACAAGTCAATGTTTCTTCCCAGTCGTGTCTTCCCACGGTCATCCTGATTTGCAGAACTGGGTGACCTCACAGCAAGCACAGAATGAGTCTCAGTGACCGGCAGAAGGGTTTCTAGAACTTGTTAAAACTCATGGAATGGTAACATTTTTTACATGTTAACTTTTATATGTTAACATTTCCTCACTTCTCATCTGTAAATATCAGATAAAGTACAACATTAAATTGAGGACTAAAGGAAAACCAGTCTCAACCAACAAAAACACCACGTCACTGAAAAAGCCAACAGCTCTGTTCTCTATTTTGCATCTCTCCCCTTTTCCTTTTACTGCTATCAGTGCAGTGTTTGATTTTTGTCTTTTGTAAAAATTGTACTAGGCTTAGTGTGTGGTAGTACACGCTTGAAATTTTTGCTCTGAGTTCCTCAGAGGCTTTTGCAATTTTGTGGTTGGTGTGAAATATTTCGAGACTTTATTTTCATCTAGAAACAAAATTAAAATACTATTTGTTGTAAATTATGTGGGAACCATATATGTATATATGCTTAGAATTTTCTGTGTACAGAGAAAGTATGTGTACACATTTCTATGTAAATAAAAAGAATTTGCTAAATCTGTCACATGACTTCAGGGTACTTTTTAAAAAACTGTTCTTGTTGTTTTTTTTCTCACAAGTGTTTATTATTTGTGTAGGTGTGTGTGTGTGCAGTACCAACTGGGCATTAAGATTCTCCATTTGTATGTATTAAACAAAACAGCTCAGCTATGGAGATTATAAAGTAGAGTAAAAAGATAATTCATGTAAAGTACTTAGCACACAGCCTGGCATGTAGTAAGAACTCCATAGGGTGAGTTGCCTTTATGATTATTATTATTTACAACATGAAATGAGATTTAAAGCCATCTGATGTTCAAAAGTTGAGTGATAAAATCATTATATACATGTGAAGAAAAAATGCTAAATCAGTTTACATGAGTCTTAGATTTTAGCAAGTCTTTAAAAAAAAGGAAAGTTTCCCTAGGCATACTTTTAAATGGGAGTAGAACATATGCCACATGTATTTTTTGTCACAACTCCATTTCAAAGCCTACATTATTGTCAGTAATGGTGCTTGGCACAATATAAATCAGACCCATTTAAACATGCAAATGCACACATTTCTACAAAACCATTTTTGCCTTTGAGTACTGCCATGGAGGCAAAGGATATTCATGTAAGGCAATCTTATACCAAATCACCAATTGTTCAAATTTTTTAAAAAAAACAGACCCTTTAAAATGAAAATTAAATTAATGTATTATATACCTGATATGAATATGATGTCATATGTCAATATACCTGAATAAAATATTTTCAAAACTTAACAACAGAAAGTAGCAGAAATGTAATCCTCAGGGAAATGTCAGGCATCTTTTCAGGGTCCCTCAAGGCCTGCTGTTTACTAGACGGCAAACTTGTTTGAAGACCTTCTCACCCCTCAGCAGAAACAATCTTCTTTACCAATCACCACACAAAATGAGAAAAGAGACCATACTTCTATGACTAAGTACAATGTGATCACACCAGCCACAGACACTGTCAAATCTAGAGAAGAGAAATAAAAAAGATCCTGTGGACAGCATGCGACAAAGCAGCAACCAGTAAAAAAGGAAGTTTTCTTCTTGCTTCGTCGTACTTAGAATTTCAATACATTCTCATGATCCAGAATAACAGCAGCAATGAGTGTGTTTCTCCTAAGAGCACCTGACACATATTACATTATAGTCTTCATTTTATAACACTTTTTTCCTTTACTTCATATTACCCAGATGCCTACATGCTACATTTTAGGCATGATTGCTCCATTTTAAATATGCCACATTGGGCTAATTCTGTCCCCATTCAGGAGATGGTTCTGCTGGGTTGGGGCTGCCATTATGGCTATTCAAAATGTGGTCTGCAGATCACCAGTATGACCTGTAATGTAAGATTGTTAGAAACGTAGAATCTCAGGTCCTACCCCAGAACACATTGAACTGTAATTTGCATTTTAATAAAATCCCTGTGTGACTTGTATAAACATTAAAAACTGAGAAGCACTTCCCTAGAAAGTCTGATTTAGTGAAAGTGCTATAGAAATTAAGAATCTATATCATACAAAGCACACTAGGTTATGTGGACTCCCAACAATACTTTAAAATAAAAGTTAAAGGAATGGACCCTTTTAAGAACAAAATTAAACGAAAAGATTGTGAACCACATAAAGAAAAGTGATCAACCCGGATGGAAGAGTAATATTGCAAACAAAGTACAGCCTGTTCTGTCTTTTAGTTTGACCCCCTCCCTTGACAGACAAATAAAGCTGAGACCCCATCAGAGTAAAGGACATGCCCAGCAATAAGTGACACACCCAAATGAAATGCAGGTCTCCTGACTTCTGGTCCAGGTATTATGTCACATAAGATAGCTAAACTAAAGCAGATATTCAAGACAAAACAAAAGTAAATGCAGTGAGTTGATATTAAGACATACTCCAGAAGACAAAACTAAATATGAAAATGGCTGGAAATGCTCTTTCCAAACTCTTAAGGATTGTAATTTCTCTAAAAACACAAAATTCTTAAAATCTAAAACTAAGAAATAAAGTCAGGATAGAGCCATTATATTCAACATAAGAGTCCTCGGTATTAGAGATATGACTGGCTAAAAATTAACAGTTGAATCCTACATTTGGCAGAATTTTCAAGTGATTAAAACACCTGATGATGTATTTTCATAGAAATAGGTAAATTGCGTGAAATGTCTTAATTCCCTAAAGGTCTGATTCTACTTCATAAAAAATCTTTAATTTATTAATTGGTCTATAAATTGGTCCAACTAGACCAATTGAAGACAGAGTTGCCCATTTTTACTTGCAGTAAAACTATAGTTAACACCAAGTTAATTAATCAGAACTTTCAATGGATAGAAATTTAATATCTTCAATTTTAAGAGACAAATCCCAGAGAAGCAAACTCATGTTAAGAGGTTTTTTCTTTATAAAAATTGTATAGATGATATTCAAGAGTAATTTCAAGGAGACAGTGAGGGGAAGTGTTTTCAGGAACTACTATAAAGGACACATGCACAAAACCAAGGGAGAGGGTGGGAGCAAGGGAGGGAGGTGGGATTGGCTGGGGTGGGGGGAATAGTGGGGGAGAAATGCAGACAACTGTAATTGAACAACAATAAAGTAATTTAAAAGACAAAGAAATTTTTTTAAAAAGTAATTTCATTTTCACCTGCATCTCCTACCCGATACTGTGAAGTCTCTAGCCATGGAAACACATCCCATCCTTCTTCATTTCCAGTCTTCTTTCTCTTCTTCATCCAACTCAGCTTCCCCAAATGCAGTAGATTACTATTCTTCAAAAAAAAATGGGTTAACCTCTTTGTGCCCTCCACAGCACCTGGCAAAGTGTCTGCTATGTAGGAGGTACTTGTTCAGTATCTGTCATTTGATGTCTAAAAAATCTCCAGTACAATACAGTGACTATTCAAGACCCCACTCTACCCATGTCATGGGTTATCTTGCACCATTTTCAACACAAACACATTTCCCCAACTGAATCCAACACCAATTGAATGTGAGCTCACAGGACCACAGAACCTTAAATACTGGGAAAAAATTAGGAATTATCTAGAATAAGTTTTGTTTATCAGATAAAAGAAACCTGATGAGGTTTAACAGCTTGGTGATTCTTACTGTTCTTCCTGCTGGGTCAAGCCATTCTTTCTCTTCTTTGTTCTTCCAAATCACTGATGTTTCATATTTGTGATAGAGACTGTCAGCTGTCCACCAGAATGGATCTGTCTTCTTCCATTGCAATGGAAAAGTCAATTATGTGGCCAGCTAATAAGGTTGCA